GCAAAAAAGTTTGTAGTCAAACAACAAAATATTCAAGCTTGATTATTTAACTTCACTAGTACCCTTATATGTGATGCAAAGTCTATCTCAAATTTCTTTTCCAATGGTACATATGGATACTCTCATATAGTATTTAGATTTAAGAGCACTGAAAAAATAATTTAAATATTTAGCATTCAATTGTGTATGTTCTCTATCCTCCTCGTTTCATTCAGTAAAGGGTATTTCAATTTTGATGCTATTAATTAATATAAACAGTGTATCATACCCTTCCTTTACCATCAACCACATGTGAAACATTAATAGACCGAAGAAAAGTAAACATACTAATTTTCTAGAAATCACATGATATGTTATCAAAAAATGGGGGACGGGTTATAGAATAACCCTCAGTGGTATTCCAATTGTTAAATTATTTCATTTAATATTTTATTAAAGATTTTTAAATCTATAATTCAATACTCTCTCTGATACCAAATGAAAGTTCAATGGAGGGTGTTAAGTCTCGTTGAACTGTTGATGGGACGGTGGTGTAACCTAAGGAATTGTTAAAGTTTTTTAAGGCTCTATCAATCCCAAAATAATGTTTAAGTTTTCTTTGATATAAAAATTATAAAATCTCACTTAATGTATGCAAGTATAAGTGCTGAATCAAGTAGTATAGTGATAGAGTAAAATATCGATCTCATGAGGAATAATGCTTACTTGTAAATACTAGTATTGTCTACTTTAACTATAATAATTATCATACTAAAAAAAATAGATTTTGATGGAGATTCAATCACTTAATTTAAGAAAATAATAATTAAATTAAATATGATTTGGATAAATTATTTTAGATTGATAGAATGTAAATACAATATGTTTCCTAATGATTCTCTTTTATATTGATGTTATTCAAAGCTCATGCATCATCGACTGCTTAGTCAAGTGTAAAGAGATAAAGGATAAATTAAACCTTCCAATCTCAATGCAACTCTAAACTCTCATAGTTTGTCACTCTATAAGGATCTTAGAAGAGTTAGTAAAATATGTATAGTTAAAACCCCATTATGATAATTAATTTCTATAAATTTGATATATGATAAGCTTTATGCCTATGCTTGCATCATACCAATCCAACATTCCTAATTGTTCATGCTTTCTAGTTCCTATGCTCCATATTACACCTCATATTAACTACACATATAGCCACTATGTGCATTAAATGAAGATATGATATATTAAAAATATCATAAAATTATTGATAAAAAGAATTCATTAGTACTTCACATTTCATTTACATTATTAATAAAAAACTAGAGAATTCCGTCAAACATGAAGAACAAATGAAGCAATTTTTTTTTTATTAATTGTACAAAAGAAAGAAAGTATAGAAAAAAAGATACCACCGGATAGGTTCAATGATCTCCTATACAGTCCTCCTTGAACTAACAGAATTGCTTCCACAAACACATGCCAATCACTCTAATGTAATATATCTAGTACTTCTCTGAATTCCCTTAATTGTCACTCCTAATAAAAAATTAGATAAGCGCAATAAAAATTGAAATTAAATAAGTGACTGAACTCATCTACTAATATTACAAATGAATAATTTATAAAAAAAATACAAAAAATGAATTCTAGTGTTTTGGTGCTCGAGAAACTTGTCCCACGGTGCTCATAAAATGAATTAACATACTATACTTGAAAATTTTACCCATTTCCTTATTTTCCTATACAAACATAACTAAAATAATACATTTTTGTTGACAAATTAACACATAAAATATAACATTATTTACACTTACCAAATCTTCCCCAGCTTAAACTCTTGCTTGTCCTCAAGCAAATAAAAGTTTGTAATTTTAATTAATTGATTAACCAAAATAAAAAAATGATAATCTAAAATTACTAAAATATAGGATAATACGTTATTGTCTATAATTGATAAAACTAAATCAAAGCTATACTTCTAGCTTAGAACAATACCAGTAGCTAAACATAATCATTCTTATTTTTACCTCATTAACTTTTGAATGTTGAAGTGAATAATGTAGTTTTAATAATTGGATATGTTTGTAATTAAAATTGTACTTTCATTAGTTCTCTATCCATTATATTAGCTCTCTTATCTTATTCTTTTTAGTTTCTTAATAATGATACCAATTTTTGAATGTACTCGTCTTTTTCTTTTGATAATTTTCATTTCTTAAAAAAAAAACTATTTATACTTCTTTTTGTTTATTTTTTGAGTAGATAATTAATGATTTTAAATATCAACTTCTGCTTCAGGATTCTCATACAATCTTAATAGTTTTAATGTACAGGCTTGATGAGATTACTAATTCCATCTTCAAGTTATCTACAATTTCAAATTTTAATTTACTTATACTAATTTTTAATACTAATTATTCATCATATAATTTTAAAAGTTAAATTCATAAATGTTAAGCTTATAAATTTAAATTAAGATAATAGCTCAAATAGTTGAATGAGTTAAGTATTAATTTTTCTAATCTATGAAGTATAAACAGAGTTCATTCAAATTATTATCTTAATTTTTATAAATTTTAATTATCATTTTTATTAGAGTTAATTAAATAATAAGAATAAAAAGATAATTAGAGGATAATAATAATTTAAATATGAAGGGAATTAGCTAACATGTAAATAAACACATAAACATATACTACAAATACATGCTTTCATATGAGTGATAAAAAATACATAAAAGTATGTGTTAAACATAAAATATAACACAACATTAACATAACATAACATAATTGCAGGATATTAGTGCACATGGCACCCAACATTCAAAAATGAATTTCAAAGTCAAATTTTTTAATTAAGTACAATTACACAAGCCAATATCTCTCATCACTTCCTTTTGTTTTACAAAACAATAAAGTAGAACAGCAAAAAAATAAAACAAAACACATACACATCCTTAATAATTCCCACTCCTCTAATCGAACAATTATTATGTCCTCTGACCGGACGTAGAACTAAGTTCAGCCGCCAATAACATGTCGCCACGTGCTCTTACTCTTTACCGCGCGGCCCGACGACTTGACCCGGACCGAAACCCGGGAATGTTATGTTCGCGTATTGCAAGGTATTACTCGGTATTTGCTCGATATTGCTCAGTATTGCTAGGTATTGCTTGGCAATAACGAGAAATACCGCTCTGTGAAGACCAATACTGAGTAATACCGAGCAATACCGAGTTGTACCGAGTTTTCTAGAAAAATTCAGTGTAACTCGGTATTGGTTATTGCCGAGCAAAATCGACCAATACCTAGCAATACCGAGCAATACATAGCAAAATCGAGAAATACCGAGCCATCCTGGGTCCGTTCCGGGTCGGGTTGTTGGGGCGCGCAGTAAATAGTGAGAACGAGTGGCGCGATTCTACTGGCAGCCGAAAGTAGAGCTACGTCCTGTCACCAGACCAAATAAAAGTTCCCTCTAATCACATGGTTTCAATCTATATCCATGACTTTGATGGTTTGCAAAGTTTTCCTATCTCGTATCATGATGGCACCATTAAAAAAAATTCTAATGATTATGAAAGGGTTAATCCATCTAGATTTGATTTTTCCATGGCAATATTTTTTCTTATAATCAAATAGCAACACATCTTGCATAGAAAAGAAATTATACAAGAAACTCCGTACATCTTCCTTATTTCTGTCATATACTTCTTATCTCATGCAACTTTTCTTTGAATTCATTCAACTTAGTAATAGTGACAGAACTTTGCATATGGAGAAGTAAAAAAGAATCCTCATTCTTGTTGTGATTTTCATTTTGGTTCTTTGAAGAAATGATGTATGCTTGATTGTACCCATCGCTTAGACTTTTGATTTCCAAGAGAAAAAAGTATGATACTCACTCAGGAGTAGGTAAGAACTGAAAAGTGAACTTCCTCTTAATTGGTTTTATAGATTTCAGCTGGAGGAAAGTTTGAAAATTTAAAAATTTCAATCATTATGGCCCGTCAAGGCGCCATATCGTTTATAGGTATGGCTCCACGACGACCCCTTCTTCTCTCTTAAAGATTTTTTTTTTTTGTGAAACAAATTAAGCAGAGAACTTAACTTCAAAGATAGGATTGCCTCCCTAAAAGCGCTAAGTTTATAGTCTTCAGCCTGACTGGATAATTTACTAAATCTAATTTTGGGTTGCCTCCCAAGCAGCGCTAAGTTTATAGTCATCAACTAGACTTGCCCAGATTTTCTAGTTGGCTAGGTGGATGATTTGTACTCTTCAATTGGGTCATATTGATATCTATTTTCTTCTTTTTAGGATTACCTTTAGTGTTACTAAGAAGAGATCCAATGGGTCTACTACTCATAGAAATTACAAGCTAACTTAGTTGAGTTTTTAAATTTTTAATTGTAGCAGCTTGGCTTTGTAATTGAGCTCCCAATTATATGACCCCAACTTCTAGTGGTATCTTTCTTGTTTCATGATAGTTACTTAGATTAAATCCAGAAGGATAAGTTGGTCTTGGATTTTTATTAGCTTGATTTTGATTATTTCAATTTGAGCCTTAGTTATTTTAATCAGAATTCCATTGATTTTTATCATTATTATTTGACTAACTAAAATTTTGATGATTCGTCCAACCTGGATTATATGTATTTAAATAGTGATTATTTTATCTTTCAATCGTATTTATATTTTCAATTCCTTGGATATCTTTTTCTTCTATTGAGCTTTTATCTTTTAAATGAAAGATGAATCAAAATTTAAGCTTGAAGTGCTCAACTTCTTTGATATTCCTGCAACTTGTGTAGTCAAAATAGATAAAGCATCGTTTTCATAGACTGATATCACTCTATTAGAATTCACCCTATCATCGGACCACCCGAAATTTTTTGTTACCATTTTTTTATTAATTCATAAGCATCTTCAAAAGACTTTGACATCAAAGAACCTCTACCTGCTTAATTATGGCTATAAGGTATCCTACTAATATAAAAAGTTTGAATTATTAACCATTAGGTAAGGCATGACGAGGGAACTTTCTAAGCATATCTTTGAATCTCCCTGAACTCTCATAAATAAATTCTCTTTCTAATTGAGTAAAAAAAGTAAAGTCATTTCTAAGCTTGGTAGTTTTAGAAGTTGGGAAATATTCTCCAAAAAATTTATGGGTCACTCATTCTATATGGTAATAGAGCCTAGGGTAAAAAATTTAACCATAATTTTGTCTTGTCTCTTAGAGAAAATGAGAATAATCTAAGTCTAATGGCACCATCACTAATACCACTATACTTAAATGTTACACAATTTTTTTAAAAAACTTGCTAAATATAGGTTTGATATATAATCAAAAAATTATGTTGAACGGGCACGAATCTCTAAGCAAAAATCAAGTTGAAAACTTCAACAATTAAATCAGAGACTATATGAACTCCGATTTCAGCAAACCTATAGTTGAACTGAACGTCTAGGAAATACGAACCCAATCACACCAAATTCTACTCAATCCGGGCCCAAATGGGACCAAATCGAAGACCCGAAGCACATTTGGAAGGTTCAAACCATAATTTGGATTACCAAATGATTTCCAAATGTAATAAGTTTATAGTCGAATCAAGTGGCTCAACAAGGCAAATCCAACAAGCCCAAGATTGTCAATTTTTTATATCATTAAGACATTCAAATGCCTAATAAATGGCCAATAATCAAGGGAATCAACATTGGTTGTCCATTTAAACCACTCCCAATTTACCCTTGATCTTTCTCCTAATTACTGGTCATGCCACTCTAAGAAAACTATAAATAGACCCCTCATTTATCATGGAGGAGGT